GTTTGATTTGATGGCTCTATAATAGAGACAACAAGAAGGTGATCTTTCACCTGGGTTAGTGAAGAAGTTGAAACTTGACCAAGCAACAAAAGAGGTTGTTGAAAATAATGACATGGTTGAGGTCTTGCCACTGGCGACAGCTTCGGCCAATGTAACCACCACTATCATGTCACTACGGTTGATAGTGGAGGAGAACCACAAGATGGTGGTGAAGAACTGTCAAATCATGGAGGAGGGTCTGGATGGACTTGTTAGAAGTTCAGAGACAACCTCAAACTTGGTTCTTTTAATGAATCATTGGAAGTTTTAGTTCTAACTTAGGTAAACGTTTGAATCAACTGTTTGAAGCGGCCATAGAAAATCAAAATTGCTTGGATGAGTTTAATTTTTTTTATATAGAACTAGTGGTGCAAGAAATGTCTTTACAAAAAAAAAGGTACAAATACACCACCAAATAATACAGCTAGGTCCAACAATCTTATTCCCGGTGATGGCCAAAATACCCAACCACGGCCAGGAAACGAGACAAGTCAACCACCTCTTCGAGATGGTGGTTATGGAGAGAATCTCGCTCTCATGTTCTCCACCCAAATAAAGCAACCGCCTGCATAGACAATTACTCTATAAACTACATGGGAGGCTAGACCATGTCTCAGCGTGAAAACAAGAGATGAGAAAATGGTTTGGTGCAAGTTTTAATTTTCTTAAATCTTTCTTCTTAATTTTAGTTTTTTTAGTAAACAATTTCTTGTCAGCTATCTTGTTATCGAAGACAGTATCTTTATTGGCCTCTAATGGAAAACTTTACACGATAAAACCTTGGGACACACTTTTTAAATAAAAAGGACAAAACGTAAATGATCATTTAGCCAAAGGTTTGTATTTTTAGTGCTATTATCTTACAAAATTTTATTAGCTTGTGCAATGTTATCTATAAAATATTATCTAAAATATTAGCTAATCGACTAAAAAAAGACTTTGCTTGTGGTTAATAACATAAACTGCATTTGTACTAGGTAGAAACATTACAGACAATATCATGTATGTTTTTGAATAATTTCATGCAATGAAGAATAGGAAGGAAGCCAAGAAAGGTTTTGTTGGAGCAAAATTAGACACAGCCAAAGCATATGATAGGGTTGAATGGTGTTTTCTCAAGATTGTAATGTTGAAATTGGATTATAATGTAGTGTGACAATAGTGACATACTCGACATTAGTGAATGGACTTCAGACTGGGATCATACAACCAACTAGAGGACTTAGACAAGATGATCATATATCTCCCTATATGTTCTTATTATCTACTCAAGGCTTTTCGATCTTATCTAAGAAAAAGGTAGAGGCTGGAGACCAACAAGAATGGCCCTATGATGTCACACCTTTTCTTTGCTAACGATTGCATATTCTTCTTTTGAAAATAGGAGACATGAATGTAAGATACTAAAGCAAATTCTAGAGACTTATGAAGGGGCATCAAATCCGAGCTGTCTTTCAATGCTAGTATAAAATAAGAAGGAAGGAAGGAAATTACATACTTTTTGGGAATGAAAACAGTGATGCAACATGGTAAGTATTTGGTACTTCCTACAGTGATACGAAGATCGAAAAAGGCAGTGTTCAATCTGATGATGGTTGAGACGACCTGTCAACCTGTGGTAGTAAAGATGAAAAAGAGGAACAAGCTTTGGAGGTGGGTCGGGTTGGCAAGGAGATAAGGGAGAAAGCTAGGGAAATAGGGAATGTTTGTTGGAGATTTTGGGAGAAAATGACAACCAAGCGACACATGTAATAGCTCGCACTAAATGTAGATGGGGATAAACGAAAATATAGTTTTCAAGACTCCTTATTTTTTCATTTCCATTTTTTATTATTATGCAGGAACTTCAGCCCACGTGCCACTTTGTGACAACGGGGCCTACTAAACCAGGGGCCCACCTGCAATCAATTCAAACGCCGACGGGGCTTCGCCCTCAACAGTCTCATACCTCCAGGAACATCAACGGGCCTCGTTTGGATCGAACCTGGGATATGCAACTCCCCAATCTTCATTGTTGCGGCAGCTTTACCGTTGGGCTATCTTACCTTTGGTCTCATTTGCATTTTGTTAGTAGACGGTAATGGCATAAATTTGCAGTAAAAAAATATAAGAAAAGTGAAAAAAAAGTATAGAAAAACTTTATATTGAAAAACCAAATTGCACCAAATTTTTATTAATAATACAAATACAATATTTAAATGACACAAGTACACAAAATGGGGTTGCAAGAGGAGTTCCATTTATTGCAAACTTGCATAAATAAAGAGGACACCCACATTAACGCCACTCCAAGGTGACATTGTAAGTGCTTTGGAACCACTTGCCATGGCATTGAATCTTTGTCCTTTGATCTGATGGTAGCTTTATGTCTACCCCCATGTCTGGCTCAATTATTGAAAAAAATCAGATCAGATACATTTAGCTGGCTCAATTATTTTTACAGAATATCAACTAGCCACAACATTCGTAAGTATAATACGGGGTTTGTGAAACCGTAGTATATCTGTGATTAACTGTAAAAATATCTCATTGTTAGATGATTTTTAGCATTATAAAATGGTTGAATAACGATTTGATAGTAAATTAATATATTATAAGAAAACTAATAGCATCGTGGTAAAAGCAAATAGGTTTCATTCACCCACCTACCACAAATTGTGATAGGATGTGGGAGAATGATCAAAGTTAGAAACTTTTTTTCACCCTGAAAAGAGAACCGGTGACAAAATAATCCAAGATTGCCAGTTTTTGTACCTATACGATTTTGGACTAGAGTCGACTTTTTTATTAGTTTCCTATGTTTTGTGTGGCAGTTCCTTTCACTTCATATTTAACTTTAATCACTTCCCATCACTCATTCTTCTCCTTCTTGACCAGGTTCTTCTGATTCCTCAGCTCTTCATTCAATACTGAAGTTTGCATTTGTCCTCATAAACACATATTAGCCAACAGAAGGGAAGAAGAGGGGGAAAAAAAGCTGTCTGGCTGCTGTAGAATGGCTTCCTTGGAGAGCTCACAAGGTATATGCATCAAAACTTTGGTTACCCTTAATCGACATTCCAGTATTTTACATCCTTTCTTGGTTTTTTTGTTTCCTTTTCGTTTTGCAGAAGGAAAGCTTCACTAGATTTGTGAAGGGAAGGTGGACTTCACCTCACCTTGTACACAGAGAACAATCATAGACACCATAAACATCATCTTCCTTTCTCTTTTCTATCTCTCACTTCTCATAAACTCTTACACAAGGCAACCATCTACTAACAGACCAAACTCTAGAAAGTAGGGCTGGCTATTTGGTCCCGGGCTGTATCCAATCCAATCTTTGGTCCTTATATTTCCGAAACGACCGGACTGGGACCGGATCAATTTGGTCCAATTTAACCAGACCGGACTGTATAGCCACACCTACTAGAAAGGACTTCATATCTGTGATTGCATCAGTCTTTTGTGGACTCATCAACATTACATACTTCATCACTAGTCTGTGGGGCCTGCTTTTACCTGAAGATGAAAACTTGAATATTTTAACTACTAGGATAGTTTACCTTGTGAGAGGGGCAATATGGGTTTCCTTGGCAGTTTTTTTGCTTGTAGTCAGCAACACTTCTAGGTTTAGTAAGGTCATCATTCTGCTATGGTGGGTTGGATTCAGTATTTTGGTTATAGTTCTCAACATTGAGATTCTGGTCATGAGAGAAAAAATTCAAGTTATTGAATTCCTGCCATGGCCTGTGAACTTCCTGCTTCTGTATTATGCTTTTAGAAACTACCTCAACCCTTTGGCTTCCATGGAGGAGGATTGTGATAAGGTAACCTCAGAACCTTTGTTAGGTGAGAAAGATTCAACAAATGAATCCAAAATGGGTAAAGCTAGCTTCTTTAACAAATTGATCTTCTCTTGGATCAACCCTTTGCTAACCTTAGGCTACTCAAAACCGTTATCACTTGATGACATCCCATGTTTAGTCTCAGAAGATGAAGCTGGCATAGCTTACAGTAGATTCAAACATGCTTGGTAGTCTCTTGTGAGAGAGAAGGGAGCATCAAACCATAGAAACAACCTAGTGGTTTAAGCCATGCTTAAAGTGTTTTTCAAGGAAAACATCATCATAGCAGTACTTGCATTGCTTAGAACACTTGCAGTTGTAGTTCTTCCTCTCATTCTCTATGCATTTGTGAGCTACTCGAATCTTGAAGACCAGAATCTGTACCGAGGCCTGTCGATAGTAGGTTGCTTGGTCTTTGTGAAGTTAGTGGAGCCATTGTCTCAAAGGCATTGGTTCTTCCTTGCAAGAAGGCCTGGAATGAGATTGAGATCATCACTAATGGTGGCTTCATACGAAAAACAGCTCAAGCTTTCTAGCTTGGGAAGAAAGAGGCATTCGACGGGGGAGATAGTGAACTACATTTCTGTTGATGCTTACAGAATGGGGGAGTTCCCGTGGTGGCTTCACTCAACATGGAGCTTAACACTGCAACTCTTCCTCTACATTGTTGTCCTCTTTGGAGTAGTTGGACTCGGAGCTATAACCGAGCTAGTCCCTCTAGTTCTATGTGGATTTCTAAACATACCCTTTGCTAGAGCCCTCAAAAACTGTCAATCCCAGTTCATGGTTGCTCAAGATGAGATGCTTAGATGATGATCTCAAGAATGAAAATCTCAACATAGATGAAAACGAAACTCCTAATGGAAGTGTGAGGATCGAAGATGGTAAGTTCAGCTGGGATCCTGAGTTTTCACTGCCAACTTTGAGCCTAATCAACATTGGAATCCAACCTGGTCATAAGGTTGCAGTCTGTGGACTAGTTGGTGGAGGGAAGTCTTCACTCCTTTATGCTGTACTCGGGGAGATGCCGAAAATCTCAGGAACTGTAAGCAGTAGAACAACCTGTTACTCAATCTGAATCTTCTGTCTCTATATCACTAAGAGAGTTCCTCTCCGTTGGTGTTCTTGTTGCAGATTGATGTCTCGGGATCAATTGCTTATGTAGCTCAAAATTCATGGATTCAAAGTGGGACGGTTCGAGAGAACGTGCTCTATGGGAAGCCAATGAACCAGGCAAGATATGATGAAGTCATTAAAGCATGTGCACTGGACAAGGACATCAACAACTTCCCACATGGTGATCTCACATAGATAGGCCAGAGAGGGCTCAACATGAGTGGTGGACAGAAGCAGAGAATTCAACTTGCTCGAGCCGTTTATGATGATGCTGATATCTATCTCCTTAATGACCCTTTCAGTGTTGTTGATGCTCACACTGCTGCCACACTCTTCCATGTAAAGAAACAAACTAAAAGCTTATTCCTTAACTTTCTTTTTCTGTGTTTTCCCTTTTTAATCTTCCATGCTGACTGAAGGATTGTTTCTGACAATTTGATCAGGATTGTGTGATGACTTCTCTAGAGAAGAAGACTGTGGTTCTAGTGACTCACCAAGTGGAGTTCCTCTCATCAGTTGACAGAATCCTGGTAAGTTACAGTAAGAAAGAGGGTGAGAAAACAAAAATTTCTGCAAGCAAAGATGATAACATTTTGATTATTTTAAGATCTATGTCTGACATGTAGGTTATGGAAGGTGGGGAAATTACACAATCAGGAAGCTATGAATAGTTGTTGAGGTAGGAACAACATTTGAGCAGCTAGTGAGTGCTCACAAAGATTAAATAACAACATTGGACTCTTCAGCCAACCCAATGGATGTAGATCAACAAGATCCTTCATATGATCAGCCTGAGAAAGTTCAGCCACAGAAGGAAGAAGAAACCATTACAGCTTCTACTAAGGGAATGCCTGAAGGAGTACAACTAATAGAAGAGGAAGAGAAGGAGATTGGTGATTCAGGATTGAAGCCATTCTTTGATTACCTCAGTGTCTCAAAGGGAACTCGTCTTTTAATCCTAAGTGTAGTGCTCCAAATAGTCTTCTTCGTTCTTTAGGTTGTTTCAACTTACTGGCTGGCATTTGCCATTGAGATTCCTGACATTAGGAATGGAACCTTGATTGGAGTTTATGCTCTCATCTCGACATTGAGTGCTGTTTTCTTCTGCCTGAGATCCTTAGTTACAACACACTTGGGATTGAGAGCTTCCAAGAGCCTCTTCTCTAGTTTCACTAATGCAATCTTCAAGGCTCCTAAGTCTTTCTTCGATTCTACACTGGTTGGACGAATCCTGACTCGGGTAAGTTCTTCACAATAAATTGAATAAGTTCATCACAATAACAATCATGCTTATATAATATGCAACAGTGAATTATTGAAAGAGGTACAACAATAAATTTTGTATCATTCCCTTATAAGCTCCTCTCAAATGAAAACTAACCTATGTGACATACAATGTGTTTAAATAAAAGTGTTCCTTTTTTACCAAATAAAGCTCTAATTCTACGTTAAGAACTATAAATTGGTTCTCGATATAGTATCCGAGCCTTTGATTACCGAAAAGTTTCAGCTGACATGTTTTTTTCTTGGCTCACTGACAGGCATTGTCTGATCTCAGCATTCTGGACTTTGACATCCCTTTCTCCATCCTCTTCGTCTTGGGACCTCTCATAGAGCTAGTGGTCACCATTATAATCATGGCTTCAGTCACATGGCAAGTTCTCATTGTAGCCATCCTAGCCCTCATAGCTTCCAAATACGTTCAGGTAAAAAAACAAACATTACTTCACTTTCAGTTACTTGATTCACAATCAACTGATTAACTAAAACTGAATTGGAATCTTCTGGTTTCTAAAAGGACTACTACTTAGCAACTGCAAGGGAGCTCATACGAATCAATGGCACGACGAAAGCCCCCATGATGAACTATGCCTCCAAGACCTCACTAGGTGTAGTCACCATCAGCGCATTCAAGAGAACCCAAACCTTCTTCAGCAACTACATCAAGCTCGTGGATCGAGATGTTGTGGCTTTCTTCCACACCAATGGCGTGCTCGAATGGCTCGTGATACGAATTGAGACGCTCCAGAACTTCACCTTGTTCACTATTGCATTTCTCCTTGTCCTGCTCCCTAAGGGCACCATAGCCCCGGGGCTCGTAGGCCTGTCGCTGTCGTACGCGTTGTCCCTCACCGGTACACACGTCTTCATGGTTCGTTGGCATTGCAACTTGGCCAACTACATTGTCTCGGTTGAGAGGATCAAGCAGTTCATGCACATTCCTCCAGAGCCAGCAGCCATAGTGGAGGCAAGAAGCCGCCGAGCTCGTGGCCCCAAAGGGGAAAGATAGAGCTTCAGGAGCTTAAGGTTAGGTACAGGGCAAATGCACCACTTGTGTTGAAAGTGTCAGAACATAAGCGTGCAATCGATAATCCAGACCAACACGAACGAACACGAATTTAACGTGGTTCAATAACACAATGTGTGCTAGCTAATCCACGGGCAGGGAAGAACAAATTTCACTAATTTGAGGAGAGTACAGGTACAAACCAAATTCCGAACGGACAAACCAAACAAACTAACCCGACTAACCTACTACAGATTAGGGTGATGAAGAGTATTTATAGAACTCTTCTCCTAATCCCAAACAGAATACCAAACACCTTTTCCAAACCTACATGGAAAAGTCCAAAACAAAGCCCAAACACAAATCCAAACAAAATAGACCCAAAACACAAAACAAACCCAAATCAAATTCAAGTCATATTCTAACAATCTCCACCTTGACTTGAATTCTCTCTCAAATACCAAATTTACCAGACGAAACCAAAGTTGCTAGATGTACCAGATGCAACCAAAGTTGCCAGATGTACCAGACGCAACCAAAGTTGCCAGATGTACCCAGACGCGATACATATCGCCAAATTTACCCAGATGCGATCGAAACCGCTAAACTCAAATGAGATGCAAATCGCCAAACTCAGATGCAATCAAAATTACCAGATTTACCAAACTCCTCCAAATCAGTTGTACCAAAATCTCCCCTGCCTCCAAATACCCCTAAGGGCGGTCAACAACTCAAACCATTTGGCAAATCCAACTCATGTTGAGACTTGCCATTCAGAACCAGCTTGGTGCACTTATCACCAACAGAACATGTCAAGACAGAACCTTGTAGATTATACAAGGCACCCCGCTTGACACCTTTCAAAATCACCTTAGAACCCTTGTAGACAGACAACACTCCACCTTCACCTTTGAAACTGAAACCCTTGTCATCGAGTAGACTAAAAAATATCAGATTCTTAGTCATCTCTGGAATATGTCTAACATTGTTCAAGGTGAGAACAGAACCATCATGTGTCCTTATCATGGCGGAGCCTCTTCCAACAATCTTACAGATAACACCATTGGCCATATAAACATGTCCTCCATCTATCTGCTCATAAGTTGAAAAACACTCCCTGCTTGGACACATATGATAATCAGCTGCAGTATCCAAATACCACACATCCTGATGATGTACCTGCTCATTCACTGCTAAGGCTAAACCATCTTCAGAATCAGAGTTAGTTTCTTCCGCCACAGCAGCAGATGATTCCTTCTTCTCTTGATATTTCTTCAGTTTAGGACAATCAAATTTCCAATGTCCTTTCTCCTTGCAGTAATGACAGATATCATCCTTCAAACCAGCAGAATTCGAATTTGTACCAGATTGTTGTCTCCTACCACCGGTAGCCGCCAACCCAGATGCCTGATTTTCCGAACCAGACGCCTTATGTCGAACCTCCCTAGTATGTAGAGCAGATCTGACATCTTACAAAGACAAACAATCTTTCCCAGCAATAAAAGAATCCACAAAATTCTGATGACTGTGGCAAAGATACCAACAGAATTAAGGCAGCATCCTCATCATCTACTTTAACATCAATATTCCGCATATCTAACAAGATGGTATTGATTTGATCTAGATGATTCCTGAGAGATGTACCTTCCTCCATACGCAAACTGAACAAATGTTGCTTCATATGCAACTTGTTAGTTAAAGACTTTGTCATGTATAGACTTTCAAGCTTCAACCACAAGCCCGCAACAGTCTTCTCAGTAGCAACCTCAGTGATGATGTCATCAGCCAAACAAAGCAAGATTGTAGAGTGAGCTTTCTCCTCCAAAGTAACCCACTCTTCTTCATCTATGCTTTTCTTCTTCGATTTTTCAGACAACGGAGCCCACAAACTCTGTTGTTTCAACAGTGCTTGCATCTTGATCTGCCACAAACTGAAACTGTTTCTTCCAGTAAACCTTTCAATCTTTATACTGATAGCAGCCATCTGGAATTAAAAAAAAAACTAACCAAAAGACGAACCAAGATGAGCTAATAACTGAAATTACTCCTCTTGCGAGCTGCTACTGTGCGCAAAGTACGCAAATCAGATTATTGATTCCAATCCAATAATTACCCACCGCTTGGAAATTAATAATCCCAAAGTATAATTTCGTAGCCTTTGCTCGATCCCAACTAGTAGCACAAACCCCAATCACAAAAGAACAAAAAACATTCTAATAATTCCACCAAGGTACCAATACAAATGTTTACTGATTCTAGGATTCAAAAGTACTCCAACCGAGCCTAGTGGAATTTTCACAAACGGACAAACTTCCCAATTAGGGCCAGGTTCTCACCTGCGGCCAATTTCCTTCTTCCTTCAGGCTCGGACCACGGAAAGAAAACAGACGAGAAGACTCAAAATTCCGATTCGAATATGTGCAAATCCCCAGAACTACAGCCTCGACTCTGATACCACTTGTCAGAACAGAAGCGTGCAATCGATAATGCAGGCCAACACGAACGAACACGAATTTAACGTGGTTCACTAACACAATATGTGCTAGCTAATCCACGGGCAGGGGAGAACAAATTTCACTAATTTGAGGAGAGTAAATGTTACAAACCAAATTCCGAACGGACAAACCAAACAAACTAACCCGACTAATCTACTACAGATTAGGGTGATGAAGAGTATTTATAGAACTCTTCTCCTAATCCCAAACAGAAAACCAAACACATTTTCCTAACCTACAAGGAAAAGGCCAAAACAAAGCCCAAACACAAACCCAAACAAAATAGGCCCAAAACACAAAACAAACCCAAATCAAATTCAAGTCATATTCTAACATAAAGGAATCAGCTGCACATTCGAGGAAGGGCGCAGGATCAGTGTCGTGGGGAGGACTGGAAGTGGCAAAACTACATTGATAAGCGCCTTGTTTCGGAGCCCGAAAGTGGCAGGATCCTTATCGATGGGGCTCGACATTGGCTCGATCGGGCTCAAGGATCTGAGGATAAAGCTCAGTGTGATCCCTCAGGAGCCTACCCTCTTCCAAGGCAGCGTTCGTACGAACTTGGACCCGTTGGGGCTCTACACTAATCAAGAGATATGGGAGGCATTGGCTAAATGTCGGCTCAAGGCAACCATCAGCAGCCTTCCAAACTTGTTGGATTCATCAGGTAAGGAAAAAGAGAAGACTCCAGCCTTTTCTTACCTTCTGTATGGTTAATTGCCTTGTGCTCCAAGTAACTTGAATATTTTCGAAAACTATCAATAGTAAGTGATGAGGGTGAGAACTGGAGTGCTGGACAGAGGCAACTGTTCTGCCTTGGGAGAGTCATGCTGAGAAGAAATCGAATCTTGGTACTCGACGAGGCCACTGCTTCGATCGATTCGACCACAGATGCCATCCTGCAGAGGATCATTCGACAGGAATTCGCGGAGTGCACAGTGATTACAGTAGCTCACCGTGTCCCGACGATTGTAGACAGTGACATGGTCATGGTCCTGTCTTACGATAAGTATGAATATTTTGTTCTGTAATTCTCAGCAACAATCGTTTGCTGTTACCTGTGGAACAAGGTAGGGTTGACGAATTCTTGATGCTTGGGTTTGTAGGGGAACTAGTGGAATATGATGAACCTACGAGGCTCATGGAGACATCCAATTCATCGTTCGCTAAGCTTGTAGCTGAGTATTGGTCTAGCTGTAGAAGGAACTCTTGCCAAAACTTCTAGGCAGCGATCTTCCCATTTGGCTTATTTAGTGATGATAAATAAGACAAATTTATTTAAGAGGACCACCCGATTTTATTTAGATTCTTCAATTTCTTTCTTTCGGTTTGTTATTGTTCCTTTTAAGAGAGTTTAAAATGAAGACAAAAAACATTATAATTTCCTATGGGCATTGACTACTTTTTTATGGTTAATCAAAAATTGCATTAAGCACGTGAGCTGCAAATTACAAAACTCCTCCAAATACAACCAATGTGTCAAGAAAACTAACAACTAGATTACAAAAGAAACACCAACTGTGTACCATAAACAAATAATCTCTACTACTGCTTCACTTTAACTTTATGGTTTTAGTTTGCTCGCCCTTAACCGCTTAACCTCATTCTCAATTCTTCGAACAAGCTGTCTTGGGGTGCAAATACTTGCAATCATGGCTTCGACAACATCTCTCGCGCTAGATGTAGCTGATGCAGAGTGACCAACACAACTTCCCATGCTACTAGCTTATCCTTTATGGTGATTCAATTCAACACAATCAACCATAACAACAAACTGTGTTTAGCCTTAAAAGGCTTGCCCACATAGCCGGAAACCAATCAACTAGAGGGTTGGGGGTACTTATAGACTTCCTGACCATCTTGACAGAGTACTTAGGCAATATTTTCCCATCCCAAGCCAATTGAGATGCACTACCTGATAAATAAGATTGAATACCCTCTATGCACTTCAATATCCTTTTACATATCCAGGTCCCTGCTAACTGAACTGAAAGGTCCCAGATTGCCTTTTGCTTCAATCTATACTTCTTCACCCATACAACCCACAAAGAACCAGTTTCAGCTAATAGATTCCGAATATGGCGGACTACACAGGCCTGGTTCCACTTCTTGAAATCACGGATACCTACACCCCCCTCTTCCTTAGGTAATGCTACAAACGTCCATAGCACCTGAGCTTGTGTCCTCGTGTTAAGACCTCTAACACCATAGAGAAATCGACTATAGTGCATCTCAATCTCCTTTAGGATCTTCTGTGACAACATAAAAGGGGCCATCCAGTTTCATTATACTAGTGAAAATAGAGGAAACCAATTGTAGTCGTTCAACATAACTAAGCATACTTACATGCCATGTTCTGATTCTAGCTGTAATCTTATCAACCAGAGCAGCACAGTCTTTAGAGGAGAGCTTACCTGTAATTAAAGAAACACCAAGGTACATTTCAGGCAAGACCCCCGAAGGAAACCCTATATAATTTGAAATCATTTGTTGCTCTTCTTCAGAAATACCAGAACAAAACAGCGGACAAGTGGCTAACTTACACTGAAGTCTCGAGTCACTATAAAACTGGTCCAGAAGCCTCTTGATGTATGCAACTGCTCTGATTTAGCCATTTTTAAATGGGTAAATACTATATATTAGCCACAACTATTATGAAGCGGGAAATAATAGCCACAAATATGGAAATACAGAAATTAGCCATAACCAAAGCAGTCAAAATCCCGATTTAAATCCTAAAATCCTACGGTTTTACGATTTTACTTACTTGTTTCGATTATGATTTCACTATAAAATCTATGGACCTTAAAATCCTATACTATTCACCATTTAAATCCTTAATATCTTTAAAGTCTTACGATTTTACGATTCAAATCTGTGGGTCAATTTTACTTTTTTCCCCATAATTTGAAAAATTAGGCCTAATTTCCTTCTCCTCCATCTACATCATCTAATTTTCACACACTAACCACCATCCACCATTATCAATTCACATCAACCTATTAATCATAATCGATTCACAACTTTCCAAAATTATCCTTGAGAAATTATCCTTGTAATTGTGATGTGTTGTTGTGTTATTCGTGATTTTTCTTATTAATATTATTCCGTCTTCATTTTTATATGGACCTTAAAATCCTCAGATTTTACCCCCTTTTCGATTTTACTTAAAATCCTGATTTTGACTACTATGACCATAACTATTATTGCGTGTCAAGATATGACTAACAGCCCATTACCATTATCAAATATTTAATGAAGAAGGCCAAGTCAGTGGCCACGTCAGGTTCCAATTAAATACTAAATTTTTTTTTATAACCTTTTTACCTTTATAAATTGATATTCTTCCTGGTTAGATATATATGGGTATTAACTAGTTCATATTTTTTAATAAAAAATTAAAAGAAAATTACAATCACCCGTACCCTCTTATCCCTCCCACACCCTCTTCTCCATCCATTGATCTTCGGAAAACAAGATATTTCCCAAAATTCCTTCCAACCAAGATCAATTCTCTTGGCAGCGTAGCTGAGAGCGATGCTCTGGTAGATGGAGGAGAAGAAGAACTCACCGTACCTGATCACCTCCCATCGGAGACTCTCGTCGAAGGGGTCGAATATCCCTTCCAGTCGTCGCCGTCCTTAGGGCTGGTAAACGGTACGGTAACCGGTTTACCGTTTACCATTTTACCGGTTTCGGTATTACCGAAATCACCCAAGCATCAGCCGCAAACCGTTACCGGCAGGGGCTCGGTATGCCGTTTACCGATCCGCTCGGTGTCGGTAAGTTGCTCGGTAATACCGATAGGAGAGAGCTGCAGTGAAGCGTCTTTTCCGCTGTCCGCTGTCCGCCTGTCATTCTGTCCGCTGTCCGCCTGCGACCTGTCATTCTGTCCGAGAGCTACTCATGACTCAAGAGTCAAGAGAAGCAGACGAAAGCAAAAAGCCAAAAACAATGTCAATTATATATTTATATATGTCAATACTCCAAAAAGACTAAAGTGAAGTGAATAATGAATTATACATTTATACTTGAGTCAAGAGTTGCACAGTAATACTTGGGTGGAGGCGCTTGCGCTAGCGACGGAGACGACGGGTTTCGAAGGTGACTGGCTTCGACGGACGGAAACAGAGCTTCGACGGCAACAGAGCTTCGACGAAAACAGAGCTTCGACGGAAACAGAGCTTCGACGCACGGTGGTCGTGGACGGTGCAGGCGCGCTAGCGACGGAGACGACGGGCTTCGACGGTGACTGGCTTCGACGGACGGAAACAGAGCTTCGACGGCAACAGAGCTTCGACGGAAACAGAGCTTCGACGGACGGCGGTCGTGGACGGTGCAGGCGTGCAGCAGTCACTCAGGCGCAGCCGCGCAGGGGATTTTTTACGAATGGAGATCGTTCGTACTTCGTAGGGATTTTTTAGGGATGCAATTAGTTTTTACTTTTTAGGGATGCAAATTATGGCCTTATGGGCCTTAGCGCTTGATTAGGTTTTGTTTCCCAGTCGGTGTCGGATTACCGACTTGCCGACGGTAAGTTCCTCCCTCGGTAACGGCATACCGCCAGCGTCACGATCCCCAGCCGAATACCGTTATGCTCGGTTACCGGTTGAATCGGTAACCGTCGGTTACCGGTACGGTAACCGGTTAAACCGGCTACCGCAAAACCGTTTACCAGCCCTAGCCGTCCTGGTACTCCCTCAACCGGCAGGCCAGGCTGTTGTAGGGGGAGTATTCCGCCACTGTAACCCCTGGAGAGCTTGATTTGCTTTGGCAAGGAAGAAATGGAAGAACGAGCAGAGAAGAAGATAAGAACAGAGGGGAGAGATAGAGAGAGAAAAGAGGGAAGAGGGAGAAGGTAAAATTTTATTGATCTGTAAAGTGGTTACAACGGTCTTGGCGGGTCTCCTCTTATACACTCTACAAATTCCTAATCCATCACTCAACTTCTACTTATTTACACTTAAGTCCCGTTGGTTACAACTCCACATTCCTTCAGACAAAGCTTGTCCTCAAGTTTGGAAATCTGGAAAACGCTCCTAGAATTCAGTCAAATACTCCCAAGTTGCATCCTCTGCTCCCGGAATTCAGTCAAATACTCCCAAGTTGCATCCCTCACTAGTTTCTTGAAATGGCTACCCTCATAATGAGGTGCCCTCAATTTGAGATATGACCACCGCATTACGTTTCATCATCTGGTGTCAAAACTGTAGTATGCCAACCAAATTACGTATCACCGTCCGGTTGCATACCTAAAACTTCGCAATGATCAACTATTACATTACGTATCGTCGTCCAGTAGTGATCCCTCGTGAATGTGGCTAGCTAAGCGAGGTTACTTGTTATTACTTATTACTATCTCTTACTCTCTTCATCTTAACTTATTTAATGATGAAGTCTACATATACATATCCCTCCAAAACCATAACTCAAATATAGCATGCATCATCAAACACGAACATAATCAAACACTTCACGTAAAACAAATACCTAAAAAAATCGTAAGGATAGAATTTACACCCTTAAACCACTTATCTCTCAAGTGTCGGTACTTTATTTCCTTTTACGTGGGATTTCTCAATCCGATCGACTTCTTAATCCTATAAATCAAAAATATGTTCCTTTTAGTTGGTACTCCTCGAATTTGGCTTACTGGAAAAAATTTCCCTTCTTCTTACTTAGTCTCAAAACTCTTTAAAAAGGCTCTTAAACTCTTTCAAAGAATTTTTTCTTAAAAAAAAATTTACCAACAATTTTGAAGACTTAAATCATCCCCAATAAATCAATAACCCTTTTAATAAATCTCATAGTACTCATAAATTAGCAAAAATTCGTTTTTCCTCTTAAAACTCCAAATTCTGACTTTAAATAACTTAAAACGTATATCAAAATTGTAACCATAAATCACACCTCAATTAACCCTTTTCCTATTAAATTTTAAAATAAATAAATTTTAAACCTATGTTACAAATGTCTAAAATTCTGGTTCTGACTTTTATAACGTCCAAAAGAAACCCTTATCAACGAACAAAATTATTAAATCTATCGAAATCTCTCAAATGTTATTTTAATCAATTAAAATTGTTGTTAAAACAAATTTAAAAATATAGTCAGAGCTACTAAATTTCCTAAACTTATACACAACCGTCCTACAAAATTTCTCCAATTTATACCATTATCAAATCATGCAAAAAGTCATTTTACAGAATCTGAAATAAATATATCTATGCGAAAATATGATTTTAGGACCAAACTGTCAAACATTAAAAATATTGAGGGACTAAACTTTTCCTTCAGAATACTTGGGACTGATCTGTGGTCTTTAGCGACAACTCTGATTCCGTTATTAAAGGACGATCATTTTTGTCGCAAATGTCGGAATTAAGCATACATATACAATCAAACCATAGCTCGATTTTTAATCGACGACATCGCATACATTACCTCTAGGACGTTCCCAAGGTTTGATTTTATGGTTATGGACGTTGGGGTGGGGTGGTTTGACTTGCAATTGCATTTGTTGCAAGATTGCAAATATGTCTGGACTAGATAGCCATATCATCTTGCAAACACACATGCCATGTCATCTTGCAATTGAGATTGCAATACCAATGTGGATGCTCTAATTCACGATTTGCAATCCTTCATACGTAACCGTCGATCCAATCTTCATCCATTATAGTCGAATCTGAACCCAAATGTCGGGGTGTTATATGTATCTCCCAGCATAGCTCAGTGCTCTAACTTGCCAAGTACATATTTGCTTAGTAATCTCAACCAGACATTGACAATCACGAGTAGAAAATTTGTCAGATAACAAAGAATTTGGATATAATTAATTTTAATTATATTTATTAATTTATTAATTAAGTATTCATATTCTTAAACCATTACATACATAGTTTCAAATACTGCCTCCGTGCGCCACTGGTTACAAAATTTCGTTCTACACATATATTTATAAGAGTTGAATTAATGCAGTGCTTTGACTTGAAACCTTGCATTATTTGATGAAAAGTTGCTCTTATCCATGAAACACTATTGCGCGGAAGGTTGTCCACATTCATAAAGCATTGCTGCATGAAAGGTTGTCATTAATTATCCATGAAGCATTGTTTCTCGAAAGATTTTCCTTATCCATGAAAACATATCAACCACTAAGCTAAAAGGATATGTCCCTTCATGAAATTAGAATATTTGATTTTGTTGGTCAAGCTCACAGGATTTGGACAATCAATCCCAAACTAGTTTGTCTCTATTAGTCCGGTTCAACCAAACTTTCAACACAAAATTGATTGTTTTATTGCGAAAACGATTTAGTCTTATGCTATTACCACTAGTCTTGAACCTGGAGGTCATAGCTTCGAATCCACCAAATAGCATCTTGTAATGAAAAACAAACTTATATCACCCTTATTAGGAAAAACTTGATAGTAGTATTCTCTGTTTTCGAAACCGAAAAATTAGTGATTTAGAGTTCAGTGATTAACCGTTATAAAATATTTGATTAGCCGTTAGCAGAACCGTTCATGATTTATAAAATACAAGATATGTATAATACACTAATACAAGATATGTACAATATACTAATTTAAGAATGAATATATAACATACAATATATGTAAAATACACTAATTTCAAATTCATATCATCCACCAACAAAATATCTTAAAAATCATTCAAACCGTCTTACAAAAGAAATCTTTTTTTTTAATTCAAGTTAGAAATTAGGGTGTTAGTTGGTAGTGGTCCACGTAAAGCAGATAATGAGGTTGAACATGAGAAGAGGAAGCATAAATAAAATTAGTAATTATGATTCAATAGTCTTAGTTTACGTTAAAGTAAATTTTTAAATTTCTTTCATGGTTAAAATAGTGAACCAGAGGACCATTCAAACCGGAGTGGTTCATCTGGTTTCAAGTTAGAAATTAGGGTATTAGTTGCTAGTGGTTTATAAATAACTGTCCAATCAATGAACCGGACCGCTATCGTAACTAGTTTGACAGTTCTACTGGCCAAACCGTTGATTCAATTCGGTTCTTATAGCAATGGTATATTATCACAAAATTTTACTTTTAGACTAGGGTGCATACATAAGTGCAGATGAAAGCATATATATATATATATATATATATATATATATGGTGACTACTTCGGTGCACTCACAAAAATGAGTGCGTTCAATGCACCCAACTCAAAAACTAGTTTTAAGGTGTCGGATTTTGAATTTTAATCTGTACAATTAGTGTAATATGATGATATAACATATGATAACAACTAATTAGCGAATTCCCCTAAGCCATAGACCTCCAATTTTGAGTTCTATCCCTAAATCCCAAACTGTAAACCCTAACCCTAAGTCCCTAACCCTAAATCTCTAAACTCTAAATCCTTCAAATTAAAGTAAATCTTGAATGGTTTTTGTGCAAATTCATGTGCGTTATTGTTCATCACATCATAAGTGATGATTGACATTATTTTGACATAAATCACATGTTTAAAATGATGGTTATGAAGCGAGTTCACTAAATGCACAAAAAAAAGTGAGTACACTGAAAACGCCACTATATATAACTATGGGTCAGACTGGCGTACGTTAGGCGTATACTATACGTCGAGTACTGCTAGTGAGATATCTCTATCTAGACCATGACCGATTTTCTAAACCCCAACCCGAAGTTTGATTTAATGAAAAACAAAAATTAACTGTTGAGCTCGGCCGGAGCTCATCTAACTACATCTAACGGCTAGATCACCCAACGTATAGTATACGTCACACCAGTCATTACCATAAAACTGTATATGATATATTTCTGCCAAAATATCAATGCTAAGATAAAATCTTTGTCAGCCAATTGAGATTGAACGTTTTTCTCTTCTTTTTCTTCTCGAACTATTTATTACAATCATCTGTTCCCTGTTGTCTTCTAGGGATAACCACCCTTGTTACCCGTGATGTGTTTTAAAACAAAAGCTAGGTAGCCACCTTTCCAGGTTTGTATCTGCCGATATATAGATAGCTAGGACTCCTCCATTTGTTTCTTTCACACCATAACTCAATTCCGGAGCCTAAGGGCCGAGATATCAGACAAAGTCACGATGGCCGTTCTGTTGATTTCCACATTGTTGTTACTAATTTCCTCCTCGTCCAACCATTGGGTTTGCTCCTCCTCGTACGTAGAAGACGCGTGCAGCGTGACAAGGTACCAGGATCTCTGCATACGCTCCCTGTCCTCCTTCTCCCGTACCGCCAAGTCCAGCCCAAGCAAGTGGGCTCGGGCTGGGGTGTCGGTCACCCTGAGCGAGTCCAAGAACACGACCCAGTTCCTGGTCCGGATGCTCCAGGACAAGGAGTTTTCTGGACCAGGAACTAATAGAAATCGAATCGCTCTGTCAGATTGCGTCGAGTGCTTCAGAGAAGCAGTCGACGAGCTTCATCGGTCCTTGGCACTTCTCAGGAACCTCCTCGACGGTGCCGCCGATTTCGAAGCCCAAATGGCCGACCTGACCACGTGGGTCGGGGCCGCCCTCACCGACCAAGACACGTGTCTGGACGGCTTTCGGGATCGAGAGCAGGTGTCGGTTAAGAGTAAGAGTAAGAGTAGTATGAAAATGGTGAGGAGACGAGTGCGGAGAGTGGGCTACATTATGAGTAATGCTCTGGCTTTGATTACTAGGCTAGCATCCGCTGGCTTAGCCTGATTTCAGTTGATACTTCACTTCATTCATTACTTCGGTTAATTTGAAATGGGGTTGCTTGGGTAGATAGTAGCCTTTTCCACTCCTATACCATTAAAAAAAATATTGTACGTAATAGCTCACAAAATTTTGTGACCTAGTACTGTAGTACATAGTTCGGCTATGCTTATAGCTCAGGTTTTTATGTAGTGTTGCGCAGTTGCGGTATGCATTATGTTTTTTTTTTCCGTATCTGCTAGCAATAAATAATGATATGTTCGCCATTTGTTTCATGATTCCATGATAGTTCAATTTTTTAACTAGTTTATTTAGCTATATTGTTTGATAAAGTATTCCAGCTAAGATTTTTATTAAGAATTCTCAATGTGATATTTTTTCATTATAGTATTAATCAACAAAGTCAATATTGTTTCAATTTTAACCTTATTTTATGAGTTGTTTCTCTGGCACAATATTCAACCTTTTTATGCAAATTTTTCGTACTCATATCAAGATTTTTCATCACTTAATTTTATTATTCAACCTTTTACCGGTATTGAGATTGACCTAATATGATTTCATTTCAGCCTAATAAAATACAAGACCCAGGTAATGAGATCCTAGTAGCTGATTATGCGCTTGTATATGTATGCAGCTCCAACGAGCCTGGGTTCCTGTGCTTAAGCCCAAAAGTTTAAGCATATTGCTTAAGTCTTTTTATTGGTTGATAGTGGATTCGGTAGTTAATAAGAGTTTAGTAGTTAATAGGTAGTCGAGGATAAATAAGGTTATTATGCAAATATAATTAATATTAATAATTGATTTTTCTCTTTCTCTCTCCTCACATAACTTTCTCCATAATCCTCTCTTCACTACAATTAAAAGAAAATCTAAAATTAATTTAATTATATTTTAATATTTATTAAAATTCAAACTTAATAATTTTTTCCCATTTAAATATAGAAATTTAAAATTTAAAATCTGCTCTCTCACTTCGTGACAACGTTTCGTAATGACATTATCAACGTTTATGAAATAAATCATTATTACTATACCTTATCATTATTAACGATTTCAATATACGTATCAATTATTTACTATTATATTATAAAGAATTTGGGATCAATTGTTATCAACGTTTATGAGCTCCCAAAATGTTTTTATTAATTATTTATTAGACGTGTTTGGTGATTATATTTAACATTGTCAATTTTTCATTAATTAGTAACGTCATGTCATGTGTGCCCATATAGTTTTCATTATCAAATGTTTAATAATCGTTATTATCAAATTTTACATGAATTGTTAATAAAATACTATGACATTATTAGTTTTAAATTTTAGTAACCTTTAATAAGAACACACCAAATCATTGATAAAGAATATATTTAGTTGAATATAAATATTTTTGTATTCAATAAAAACATAATGTTTTGGTTTTTGATGTTTCCGTTATCAATAAATTTTTGTTACATTATTAACGGTTTGTTACATCTCTATCAATCTAGGAACTTATTTTTCCAATTTGGACGTCAGGTTTATAAACTTCTTGATAAAGTGTACTATTTGTTTTTATTGTTGTTATCAACGTTTATGAAACAATGTCCAACAATTCCACCATCAATGTTTATTGGTTCATTGTTATCAATCCAAGAAACTGTTATCAACTTTTTTGCAATGAATTTTCAACGATATATAAAAACATTATCATCGTCTCCTAAATTAATTTTTGTTGTTTGTTAATGGGTTTAGGCTCATTGTTAAAAAACTAATGTAATGTTATCATTGTTGATGTAATATAAATTGTTATTAACGTAATAAAATATTTAAGGTTATAATCATTATAGCCGAGCATTATCAAATTTATAGTGAATTATTAATAAAACATAGTTACATTATCTATGTTTAATATATCATGATATCATATGTTGTTTGTTAATGTATCATGATATCACGTAGTTGTTACAACTTACAATTTCACTTTCACGTTAAAAACGTTAAGCAACTCCCACCAAAATGTTGTTAAAGTATATCATAACTAATAGTATCAAAATCATAAAAAATCGACGTAAAACATTTATAATTTTCAGTTTCATTGAAATTTTTGGAATGAGAACATCACGTTTACGTTAAAAACGTTAAGCAACTCTCATCAAAACGTTAACAACGTGAAAGTATATATATAATTACTAATAGTTTCAAAACATTTAACAATTAACCTAAAATATCTGCAATTTGTCATGTACTGTTAATAGTGAACACTGTCGATGTTTGATTTATCATGATATTAGTTGTTGTTTGTTTGTCGAAACGAGTGAGACGTCTTTAAGAGCCCATTACTAATAGTATCAATAATGATAATATTGTGAATCATTAGTAAAGATGTTGTAATCAATGATTCATTCATAAACGTTGATGATGAAAATATACAACGGTAGCGATTGATTCAAAATTGCTAACAATATAATTGTAAAGAATTGATACTTATATTAAAATCGTTAATAATGATAAGGTATAATAATAATAATTTATTTCATAAACGTTGATAATGTCATTGCAAAACGTTAATACTACATTGCAAGTTGTCACAAGTTGTCACGAAATGAGAGAGAAGATTTTTAATTTTTAATTTCTATTTTAAAAAGAGAAAAAATTATTAAGTTTGAATTTTATTAAATATTAAAATCTAATTAAATTACTTTCGAATTTCCTTTTAATTGTAGTGGAGAGAGAGGTTTATGGAGAAAGTTATGGGAGGAGAAAGAAAGAGAATAATCAATTATTAATATTAATTATATTTGCATATTAACCTTATTTATCCTCAACTACCTGTTAACTACTAACCCCCTTATTAACTACTTAATCCACTATCAACCAATAGAATGACTTAAATAAAATGCTTAAACCTATACGCTTAAGCACCGGATCCTACCAGAACTCCAACTGGGATTTCGTGCTATTTTACCTACCCAAATCAAAATATTTGGTTGACCAAGCCAAAAAAATCTAAAAAATGAAACCCTAAACATCATCAAATCCAGCTAACCATCATTAGTCATATATGAAGAGTTTGGTCTACTTTTCTCTATTTCAAATTTCCTGCAACGAGAGTGAAAGTAGGAATAACATTTTTGTTTTTACAAATAATTATTTATTCTGTATAAAAATGTCAACATCAAGATTTGAACCCGGGTCTCTTCAATCAAAGACAACAATCACAACCAATTACACTAAAGAATTTGTTGTATCTTTTTTAATACAAAACATAAACAAAGTGACACTCTGAAAATCGGAGGACTTTTCCATCATGAATAAAAAGCCACTAAGTCTACCGTATTTGTTTTTATGGTGATTGATACTGCAATTTTCATAGCAGAGTTTCATGTAGTTTTCTCGGTTCTAAAATTATTGCTCCCTCCTTAATTTTCACTAAAGGTAAATTGGTAATTTGCCAACATGGAAGAAACTAATTCTATTACTACGTGTTGTGTCCTTGCATTTTTCATTTATATTTAAATTTAGTACCTTTTTTATCTTTGTTCTTATCTCTTTCTAACTTCCTCCGAAATTCCATTCATCGTGCAGTAGTTTGCGCTCATTTCACTTCACAGTACAAAGTTGCCTTTGAAAATCAATCTTCTGTTATCTCTTTGTAGTACGATTTCATTGTTGGAGATTTAAACTGGGCAAGTAGAAGATTTCAACTCCTATACCAATCCATGGCGAATAGAATAGAGTTCAATAAATGGAGTTGCAGAAGGAGGATTGGAAATTGAATTTTTGGTTGAAACATACGCCTCTTCATATTGAAGATAGAGTGAATAAAATTTTGATTGTACAACAGAGAGTGGTGGCTATTGGATATTTAGGTTTATGATATTTGCACCTATCGCAATCTATTTTTATCTTAAAACGAGGAATCATTGATTGATTTATGGAAGTAGGTCGGCCGATTCTTTATTCAACCTACTTGAACTGATAGAGAAGGAGTGTCAAATTTTGTTCCTAATGATTTTGACCGAGTATTAGTATATTGGAGGTAACCCTAATATTGGCGTTTGTTCTCAAGTTTTGATGGTCCCCTCTTAGCTGAGTTGTTAGTATATAGTTGGCTTGAATCAACAACTCTCAATTTCTTTGTGATTAGTGACATGTTGTTCCTAAAAGGAGAGCATTGAACATTTATGTAGGGTTGCGAGGTTTAAGATTTAGTTTCAAACTATCTATGGTTCGTGTGGGAAATATTTTTTGATAAATCGTGTGAGAATTTCAGTGAGCTTTTATACTCTATCTTTCTTGACAATCAACTAACCAATAACTTTTTATATTTTATATTGTTAAATGATAATGATATTTGTCCAAAAGTTCAACCTATATATGTTTTTAGTATTTATAATCTCGATCGAAAGATAAACGGTTTGATAAAATTAAATATAGTATAAAAATATAAATAATCAAATATGATTATTCCGGCCAACCGGCTGGGTTATAAGCTAGTTATTTCAAGAAAGACAAAGTTTATGGAAAAAATCAAACTGGAAATCAAAATTGAAATAATTACTTTTCTTAATAACAAATAAATAGAATGTTACTCTCTTGCAGTAAGTACAAATATATGAAACATGGAGAATGGGCGATCTCCATGTCCAAATAGCATTTTCGAGCTTACTGAAAAACATCCAAATAGTAAGTATAGATATGTTTTCCTGCATATATATAGTTATAAAGACGAATAACATCTATAAAACTATCCACATTACTAAGGCTATAATGCCACTATGACCAATAACATCTATAAATTATCAAAATTGTCAAGTTAAACACATTATAAACTATAAAAATTGTTCAAGTTAAACAACGTCATTTTGCTTTTTAAATTGCCTCAAGTGGAACTCCCAATTGGTTAATTGATTGGATCTTAGATGCAATGATTTACTTCACTAGCGAGCTCTCTAGTTCAAAAGTGAATAAAACCTTCACCATACCCAAAATCCATCAACACTGAATTTTACCATTTTTTACAAGATCCAGCCAGGTTGAATACCTGTGAATCCATTAAAATATCGTCCATAATTGTATTAATATATCCTCAATCTCACTTTTTCCCTCCAGATTAAAGACAAATTAAATTAGTTTCTCGTAACTTAAATTCTCTTTTTTTTCGGCTAAATAAATTACACGCTTGGTCACTCAAATTAAATAAATTTTTCATGTTTGCCACTCGAATACTTTTCTTTCTTATTCGCCACTAACTTTATGAATCATTTCACTGTTAGTCACTAGTCGTTAGTCTCCGTTAGAGTCCGTTAACTCCGTCAGTTTCTGATGACGTGGCAAACAGATTTGCTGACTAGACCGTTAACTTAATGACTTGGCTTTAAAAAATTAAAAATTAATTAATTAAGGAAACAAACGGAGAATAAATGGAGAGAATAATTTGAATGCTCCCATCTCCATCGCCGCCAAGTCACTGCCAAACCGCTTCCGTCCTCGATCATCACCGCCGTACCCGCGCATCCTCCGCTGCAACAACTGCCAGCAACGACATCGCGCCACCACCCAACGCGGCTCCTCACCGCTCGCCACAGTCTTTCCCAGAACCTAGATGTTGCTTCCCGTCGACATCGTTAGCGAAAACTTCAGATCTGAGGCTCTGACCTCTGCCGATCCCTTCTCACACTTTCCCTTCGAATCTATTTCCAGCCTTGTACAGTCGAGCCGGGCCGCCAGACTTTTTCTCGCACTTTCGACCATCCAAATGCCCAGTTCCCACTCTCCTCTCACAGCCCTGCTTCCTTTGTTATTCTTCTCCACTTTGAAATCAGGGTGCGTCTATTCACCAATTAAAGACGTTCTATTCAACAAACACATCATAATCATTGCTTACATGAGCATTTAGAGTCAAATTGGTTCTTCAACTATACCAAATCACAAGCAAACAAAAAAAAAAGCGGTAAGGAAACCGATGCAAAACAATCGAGGGACGCGACAGAGGCGACGATGGAGGTCAGAGGAGTCATGCGGCAGAGAGAAGGGAGACCAGGGAGCAGGCTATTGAAGGGAAGAAGGTCAATCGAGAGTCTTGAAGAAGCTCTACCGGCAGTAAGTGCAACGAAAGAGCGTCGGGAGTGGTGGGAGGGAATGGAGGTAATGGAAGGAGAAGAGGTGGGAAGCATTGGGAGTGGAGCGTTGTAGTCTTGTAGATGGTTGTCGGTAATTGGCTCAGCTTTGAATTGATTATTATTATTTTTTTAATTAAAATGTTGGTCCGGTCAGCAAGTCTGTTTGCCACGTCTTCAAAAAATTGACGGAGTTAATGGAGTTTGATGGAGTTTAACGGTCGGTGACTAACGGTGAAACGATTCGTAAAGTTAGTGGCGAATAAGAAAAGAGTGTAATTTGGGTGGCAAATGTGAAAAATTTATATAATCTGAGTGACCAAATCGTGTAATTTAGCCTTTCTTTTTCTTAATAAAAGAATCTCACATAGCCACTTGGGGATGGAAAAAAATATCACAGTCGCAATTGATGAACAGTGATAAATTAACTATAAATCTCTATTAGGCAATAAACGTGCCTTTGGTGATTGGTCTCTGTCTCTATCAATCAACCAAACCAATGATTAAAAAAAAAAAAAAGCTACAATTCTACAAAGCAAAATAGAGGAGAAAAGTGGGAGAGATAATCCACCGTGTTAAAGGTTCGTTGGAGGATCGGCGGGGCTGGCTGAACTGGACGTTGCAACAAGCCAACAATACTTTGGAATAATCAGGAGATTAAAAGTTAAATCAATTAATTAATTAGGAAATAGAGAAACCCACAACACTCTAACTAAACCCAGAAAAATAAGTTAGTAAATACTGGCTGGATGGATCCACCGAACTTAACAAAAGGTGAATCCTTCCTCCCTCTCCGATTCATAACAGAAAGCTTTTTTTTTGAAATCCCGTTAAGGACTGGAGGAAGGAGACCTGCCACTGCTGCCAGTGTGACTGATCATTGACGGCCGGAAGGAAGGAAGGGGAAGGAAGAGCAGCGGCGGCGCCACCGGGAAGGGGTCGCATTCGGGAGGCCGTCGGCAGCACCGATTTCACTTTCCTTGCAAATCACTCATTTCTTCCACGCCGACCCATTTGTTCCTGTCTCAATCTCACTCAAACCCACCCCACCATTTCCCCCTTTTCTTTCACCTCCCTCTGTCTTCCACGTTCTAGGGTTCTCTCCTTTGTCAGCTCATTTCCTCCTCTTCCGTAGCAGCAGCAGCAATGGCGGATCTCCACTCCAAATCGGACATTTCCTTCGCTGAGGTTTTCTTGTGCAGCGCCTTTGCTGCTTGCTTTGCCGAGGTAATTCGACCTTGCATTGTCCTTATGATGTGTTGATTCCACCCGCTGCTTAATTGATTGACCATTTGGGAGCTTTTAGTGTGTTCAAGTCAAAATTAGTCGCAGTTCCTGATCTTACAACCCTTTGTTTGTTTGTTTGTTCCAGTTCTGTACAATTCCATTGGATACAGCAAAAGTTAGGCTACAGCTACAGCGAAAGACAGCTCCTTCTGGGGATGGAGGAACAACTGGTGTACCTAAATACAGAGGTTTGTTGGGCACCATGGTTACAATTGCGAAGGAGGAAGGTTTGTCATCACTCTGGAAGGGGGTGACTGCTGGACTGCATCGTCAGTTCATCTATGGAGGCCTAAGGATTGGATTGTATGAACCCGTACGTCTCACGAGACCAAATGTTTTTGTTCAATCTGGATGCTTGCTGCTCTGCTACTAATTTTTTGTTGGTTAGACATTGACTGACTCTGTGTTCTTTTGCACGTATGTGGGGGAATTCAGGTGAAATTTCTTCTGGCTGGCAGTGATTCTGGTGGAGTTATCCCTCTATACCAGAAAATACTTGCAGCTTTGATAACAGGGGCACTAGCTATTATTGTAGCTAATCCAACAGACCTTGTGAAAGTCAGGCTGCAAGCTGAAGGAAAACTACCACCTGGTGTGCCTAAGCGGTATGCTGGGGCATTGGATGCTTATCGTACTATAATGAAGCAGGTCAGCTTCTGTACACCGGGTTTTTCTTTTCTTTTCTTTTCTTGTCACCGATGATTTGGATCTCTGGAGTTTTAGCTTACCACAAATGGTTTTGTTTATATCCAGGAGGGGCTAGCTGCCCTGTGGACCGGACTGGGGCCGAACATAGCAAGAAATGCCATCGTAAATGCTGCTGAGCTTGCCAGTTATGATGAAGTGAAACAGGTGATTGGTTTGTGACTCTACCATTATTACCTGGACTGCTTGTTTGAATTAATGGTGGTAAAAATGGGGGCATACCATATTTGAACAATGATTCCTTGATCTCTTTTTATACTTATGCAGACAATTTTGCGAATTCCAGGGTTCAGGGACGGTGTTCTTACTCACATACTAGCTGGCCTAGGTGCTGGTTTCTTTGCTGTGAGCATAGGGTCACCCATTGATGTGGTATGTATCATCAGCCTTGTTTCGGCTCTAGGCATATCTAACTAAGAGTACGTTACATCATAATATTGTCCAACCAACTGCTAGACCCCATTTTGATAGACTGGTACCCAAGAGGAGAAGTGGAAGTACTTTTATTGATTTGTATTTCTGATGCTATAGCTAGGGGATCATCTCTTTATCTCCTCATTAACATGCGGTCCTCTGAAGTTCACTTAGACTTTATAATTTGACGTCTCTGTGTCGACTTTTTCTATCATGATTAACAACACAAACAATGCCCGGGACTGAGACCTTAAGGAAAAGGAACTGTGGCAACAGAAAACAATGAAAATGGTTCAGCAATGGTGGTCAAAATGGAAACTGACATAGGAAGGAATGCCCATTGGCGATGTAATCAATTGGCATTGCTGATCTCTTGAAGTTGTTTATTGGAACGAAGAGTGAAGCTTAGATTTTGGTTAGTTCCAGGTCTGTTAAGTTTGTTGTTGCCTGGTTGGTAATTGATTCAGGTGAAATCAAGAATGATGGGAGACTCTTCCTACAAAAGCACTGTAGATTGTTTCATCAAGACCACGAAGACTGAGGTGATTACTCCATATCAATATCCATATCTCCCCCACTGAATTTTGCTTCGGAAGCTATGAACTGGATGTAGTACCTTTGCCTGCAGTTGCATGACTCACTTAAGTATTTATGATGTTGCAGGGTATTTTTGCCTTGTACAAAGGTTTCTTTCCCAATTTTGGCCGGCTAGGGTCTTGGAATGTTATAATGTTCTTGACGCTGGAGCAAGTAAGTTAGATCCCGATGAATCGACCACTTATTCTTCTTCCCTTTTCCAAACCCTGAGCTTTTTTTGCTGCCATTTGCTTTCTGTGTGGAAACAGGTGAAGAAAATATTTGTCGGGGAAGTATACTACGATTGAGCGCAACAAGGTGGTCGTCTCTGGCAAGCAAGGAAGAAGCCATTACTACTTCTTTGCCGGTAGATTAAAGCTTCAAATTATTGATATAGCTCCTTTTGATGGGAGCGAAATAATGCATCAGACTGGCGAGATATGCCGCCGCAGGAGATGCAGAGTAGATGTTGTAATTGATTTATTGACCTATTATATCATTTAGATTCTGAGCTCTCATCTCTACCAACTTCAATCCGATTGTTTCATCCACAATCTTGCTTGTAAAACAACCCAGCACCCAGGTTCTTTTGGATACGGATACCCGAGAAACAACATGGCAATTACATAGTCTTGATGATAGCTTATCACATTACAATCTTCAAGATCAAACATAAACTATTAGCGCCTCATAACTTGCAGATGACACTCGACCCAAAGCTTGTTATGTTCTGGGTACCAGATAAACCCTAGCCTTGACAATCGATCCGTTCCCAAGCTTAAACCCCGGGCAAACTGGAAACCCAACAACCTGACCAGCCGGAACCCTTCCACCGGAAAATCTCACCACACTTTCCATGTACTGGGCATGGAACTCAGCTCCCCTGCTGGCCTCGAATTGGTTCGGGGCTGGATCGAGGGAGAAAGCCAGCAGATGAAGCAACCAAATGGCCTTGGCCAATCCCAAGAACTCCCCGTAGAATTGGCTCCTCGGATGGTTCCCTGCCGCCACCTGTTGCCGCTGCTCCAAATTGCCGAACAAGGATTCCTCCATCTTCGGGTGCACGATCGCGAGGTACTTCTTGGAGCAGAACTTGCCGAAATGGCAGGTGGGCAGGATCCCCAGCAGCTCCACGGGATCCATGGCTTTCATGTCCCTGTACTGGGTGAAGCAGTCTCGCCGGAATTGGTCCGGGTTGAGCAGGAAGACAGGCTGCCGTCCATGTAGAAGTCTCGTGGTCGAATCCTGCGAAGATTTTCCTGGAAATGTACGATTCCAGCGCGTACTTGGCGTGGTGCGTGGCTGCCGTGGAGGCGATGGCGTTGATCGTGGTGACGGTTTCGGCGGTGGCGTTTGCCGCCGCGGCTTCGATTGATCGGACTGCAGCCGGGATGTCCCAGTGGGCGGCTCGCATCAGCGACAGGAGGATCGCGGTGAAGCCCTTGGAGATTCTTTCACCTGGCTCATCGTCGCCTCGAAAAGCTCCGGCGCCGGCGCCACAGCAACTGTTTTTGACGGCCGGAGTAGAACGTCAGCAATTCTGTTTATTTACGATGAATCACAGGGGCAAAATGGGAATTTCCAAAACGTTTACCTTGGGTAGCGTGACTGCAGCTGACCTTCCGCTTTGACTGCGACCGACCTTTCTTCCCTCCGCCGTTGCTGTGACACGTGACGGCGGCGCTCTTCAGCTTCTCCTTCAGATTCACAACCTCCGCCTCCCTCGCCTTCACTTCCTTCTTCAGCTCCTCCACCGCCGCTTCATACGGCGCCACCGCCTCCCTCAGCATTCCCACTACACTTCCACCGCCGGCGTTTCCTCCTCTTCGCCTCCGCCCTCCTCCGCCGCCGCCGACGCTGACGGACCGCCGGAATCTCTCTCTCAAAACACCCAGCTTCCTCAGCTCCCCGACCACCGCCACGTCGGAGGACCTCATCCGCTCCGGGTCCCACGGGCAATGCGCGTCCTGCAAGTTAACGTACGCCTTCTTCATCAACGAGACAGCGTCGAAGACCTCGTTGACTAGCATCTCCATCTCCATTACCCTCTCCATTGGAACCAGCTCACCTCGCTCTGGAGCTTCTTCTTCCTGCTCCCCTGTTTCCAATCCCTAATTTCCCCATTTTCCGTTTCCTCTTCCGTTTCGTTTCCTTCTTCTTCCTCCTCCTCTTCTTCATCCTCTGTCGTCTCGTACTCGGACACATAATCCTCCTCGGTGCCGGAACCATTATTCCCCGACGGATCGTGCTTGCCGCCGGTGGTGGCGAGTGGGTGGAGCAAGCAAGATGCGGTGACCCGTTGAATCAGGTCGGAGAAACCACACACCTTGGTAGCCATTTCTCCTCTCTTGCTTGTCGCCTTGATGTCTTCTCTATTCCTGCAACAAACAAAAAGACGGGGGCAGACGCAATGTAAAGTATAATTCAGAAAAGGCTGGAAGCTTTTCTAGGATGGTGGCAGAAGAGCCCCATTTGGGATCAGACCCACCTAATCGAAAAGCGAAATAATTTTTCGGGGTCGACAGAGAAAGAGAGAGATGCGGAGGGTGGATCATGTGGTAAAGGTTGCACACAAGGTGCTCGATGAATTGACGCAATGAAGTGGAGATTTATTTATGAGTAGTAGAAGTGAATGGGGACGGACCTGCAGCGAGTGGTGTGACAGCGGAGAGCGAATCTGGTTGGGTAGACGGACGGATCTCTATCCAATTGAGGCGAGTAATTGATGGAGCTGAAGCCGCCGTCGTCGTCGTCGGATTCGATTCCAGCGCTTCCCTTCTGCTTCTTCTTCCTGTGAAACTCGTTTTATCGTTATTACATCCCGGTACACGTGGGAGAAGTAAAGCCGTTGGATTCCGTGGGGATGAGATCTAATCTAACTACGGAGTTGTAAGTTGTAACCACGTGGGGGACTTGAAGTGAAGTCATTAATGCACAAAGGTAATTAATTTGATAATGAGTCATAACACTAGTAAATGCGGGATGGAAATTGCTAATATTTACTAAAATATGAAGAGTATTTGATTAGATTAGTTAATTACCTTGTGCAGTTTGAGCTGAGGGAGCAGAGGAAGATCCCAGGAAACATGGCTGAGGCTAACAATTTGATTAAGCTTCTTACCCCAGAAAGCAGCAAAAGGGCAAGTATGGCAGCTTGCAGTTATCACCAATGGTGTTGTTGATTATATTATATAGTGAGATTGGGGTATCAGATTGTGGTGGAGTGTAGGAATGACAATGGGGCAGGTCTGGTGCGGGTATCTTGATATCTATACCCGTCTCGTGGCAGGTTGGATTCAGTTCGGATAATTTATCATGAGTCACGGGTCGGTGCAGGTCGACCCAATGGATAAGCAATTTAAATGGAAAATATTAGAAATATTCGTTATTTTCATTATAAGACAAAGAAAACAAACCATAGTATGATAAATTTAGTTAACTTATTGGAGAAATTGAGGTTTTCACTAACTTACAACTTTATTATAGCTAAAATATAGTATAATAAAAGAAAAATACCCATAGTAATGTGACTAAGATTACATGTAATTTAGATAAGAACGAATCAAGAATGGGGCGGGTCAAGGCAGGTCGGGTCGATGAGAGTACCCATGCGGCCATGTTCACCCGGGTTGGACCCGCCCCAAAACAGGTCAAACAGGTCGAATAAATCTGATCAGGTCAAAATTGCCATGCATAGTAGAGTGGAGAGAATAGACAAGGGGTAGGACGCATAGATTTGAGGCCCAATTGACTACGGTATGAATTATGACAATGTATTAAGGGTTAATTGGTTAGATTCATCGGATATCGACTTGGTATATTTCGTTGTTGGTCTATAATACCAACTGCGAAGACATATCTAGATTTTGACTAGGGCATAATACCCTATTTCAATGTTGTCAATCTGTGGGTAGACTCGTCGATTGACTAGTATTGATTCTGACCCGATGAGAAAAATGGGTCACATACCAGTGGGTCGACCCACTGCAAGGATATCTGGTTGGAGGTCACAAGGCATCGTTTTTCCCCTCTGGTTTGCAAAATAAGCCTCTTTTTCGGTTTTCCTCTTCGCCCTAAACCTATCTATATGGATATGTGATACCCTTAGATCTACAATCACTACGATAAATGTTATAGATAGGGATGGCAATTACCCATCCTTGGGTCATTTTACCCAAACCCCAAGTAAACCCATTGTGTATGACCGTATGAGTAAGATATATGTGAAGTATATATGAATTTGAGGTTTTGTAGATGAGTTTAGTTAGGATATGGATATTGCTTTCATACTCTAAATGAACTTGGCTTGGGTATGAATACCCGTATACTTGAAGTTATTTTAACTGCACATACAAAAATTGGACCTATTTGTAAATGTTAAAAAGTTTAATATAAAAATATAATATAGAAAAATTCGAAGTACTAAAATATAATTTTTCATCGATATCGTGAGTACTTATATGCAAAAATAATGAAATTTAGGCTCTACATTTACAAATTTATTAAGTTTAGGTATCAAACTACAATTTGTATACGAATATTGGTACAAATCCAAAGCCATAAATACAAAATCCAACTCAACCCAAATAAATAGATATGAGTATATACTCATCGAATTCTATTCATTTACCAACTATTTGATTTCATACTCAATACAATTGAATAATAAAATACTCATGATGAGTTTGTACAAAATTCTCTATCTCTGACAGAAACCTTCCTCCATAAGATGGCCCAACAATATGGCCAAGTTTTCTAAGAGTACTTGAGCATCAGAGCGTTGAGAGGCCAAGAAAAGTCATGGTCAGCCTCGTTTTCTAGGTAATTAACTCGACATTTATAATGAATTATCTAGTGATTGATTTTAAAGTGATATAGATGTGAGATGGAGAATCATAATCGACAAAAATTAGTAGGAAAAAAGGGACTCTTTTCACCGGTCAGCTGAAAGATAAACCGATTAGATCACCTTTTTTGTTTTTCATCTTTTGATTACGAATTGCATGAATTTTGAAAATTTATGGATATTTAAGAGTTTTGAATTTATTATAGAGTTGAAAATTTTCATAAATTTTATGATGAATTTTGTTAACTAGATTTGTATGTATGAAGTTAAATTGAATTTTATAATCTTAATTGGTATGAGAAGATAAATGAAATAAGAGAGATAGATTAGTCACAAATGATGGACTTTAAAGCATATTATCTGTTGGGCATATTACTCGGGCCTAGCCGCGCCAAGGAACAAGTCGGGCCCAGCCACGTCAAGGAACAGGGCGCGACTAAATATACCCTGACGTGGCAGCGCGAAGACCCCGAGCGCGACACCTCATCGTAGTTAACCACGTCTTGGCGCGAAGAGCTTAGACGCGGAATGGGTTACATGCGCTAAGGGAGAGCATAACGTAGGCTAAACCAAGGGATGAGGAAAGCGTAGCTTTCCTCCCCAGAAGGTAGTCACATCAGGCCCATGGATAGGCCTCTGACACGTCCTAGGTAGAGGGATGGCCAGGACATGGCCTAAAATCCTTAGTATGTTAGTGGTCACATCATTGTATCCCAGTAGTCACATCATTGTATCCTCACATGAGTCAACCACTCACCCACCACCATGAGGCCTATAAATACGGCATTTACTACGGTGGGTGAAGGGATCGCATTTTTGGTGCATTCTCTCTCTATAGCAACGACTTCTCTCTTAAAAGTTCTGACTCTCTCTCATCGTACTCTCCAATTCTTCTCCTTCCGATCAATTCCCACGCTGGCGTTCTTCTTGACCCAAACTCTCACCTGAATCTCACTCCTACACTCAGTTAGGTTCAAACAATTGGCGCCCACCGTGGGGCCAAGAAGAAACGCAGAAGAAAATCCACTGATGGCAGAACGCAACCACGACCAACCTGACGAAGCGACGCCAATCAAGGCAATGACCGACCCAAGGGCGTTCGCAGAAGCCAGCGACCTCAACGCGGTGCTCCTAGAAGAAGAAGAGCCCGAGCTGACGGCCAAGGAAATGAGGGAGCTGGTGACGAAGCAAAACAACGTCATAGCTGACATACAGAAGCAAATGAGCCAAGTCATTGCGCTCATGCTGAGCAGGGAGGCCGCGCAACCAGTAGACGCGACGGCGGTCGCGCCCATACAAGCCTTGGGAGAAGCGTCGGGAACCGCCCAACTACCACAACACGCGCCAGCGGAATTCCCCGCGTGCGAAACGCAGGGAACTGAGCCACCAGGGCGGGCGGACCTCAGCTTCTTGGAGCAACACTTGTCTCCGCAATACCGACCCAACCCGCCTAAGAGGGTCCTCCACAAGCCGTTGAGCGCGCAAATAATGGTGGAGCACCTAAGCGGGGCGCCACCCACCCTACCAACATACAACGACACAACCGACCTAGAAGACCACGTGAGCACCTTCTGCTTGCGCATGCAGCTCCAAACCAACTCCAATGCCGCGCTGTGCAGGACCTTCCCGTCGACGTTCTCCGGAATATGCCTCGACTGGTATAACCGGCTCCCGAACGGAATCATCCGCTCGTTCGAGGAGTTCATACTTCTATTCACAACAAAGTTCGCGTCCCAGAAACGGCGTCCTCTACACCTCAAGGCCCTGATAGATATCAGGCAAAAGGACGGAGAAAGCCTGAGGGCCTTCTACGCTAGATGGTCCAGGGTGGCAATGGCCGTCCGCGATCTCACCCCCGAAACCGCCGCCCATCACCTCATGGAGGCCACCAGCAACATGGAGCTCAAGCGGGCGTTAGCAAAAAGGCCTGTGACGCTATCAACAGAGTTGGAGATGAAGATTGAAAAGGCAATCACGTTAGAAGAGACCCTGGGGGCAGGATCCGTCAGACGCTTCGAACCAGCAAAAATGCCACGAGAGGAACAGGGACGTCGGCAGCCTCCAAACATAATCCCACGAGACCAATTGCTACAGATGCACAGTGGCCCAAAGCGCCTCCCTCCTCCCCCACCAGGGCAAGTTCAGCGCGGGCGATCGCCGGACAGACGCGCGTCCAACGCCTACACTCCCCTTAATGACTTGGTGAGGAACGTGTTCCACGTTCTCCGCGAGAAAGGCTACAAGCTCAATTGGCCTGCTCCGTTGAAGTCCTTACCCCACATGCGCGATCCAAAGAAGCATTGTGACTTCCACAGAGCAACGGGGCACCAGACGGAAGACTGCCGAGAGCTACGGTACGAAATAGAAGGCCTCGTGCGGCGAGGATTGCTGACCGAGTTCGTCCACGTGAAGGAAGAGCAAGTTGGGGGCCCGCAACACCCGCCACCACCCCCACAGGCCGACTACGATGATAACACCGGCGCGTATGTAGTGCGCAAAGAAATCGGGGTGGTGACAGTTGAAGGAGATCGCCCCAAGAAAAAAACCAAGCGTGAGCGCGCGACGGAGTGCGCGGCCGTCGACGCGCGGACAAGATTCAATCTGAGCTTTGACGACGTAGAGTTCCCACAAGGAGTCCCGTCAGAGGAGCCACTCATCGTCACCGCGCTGATTGCCGCCTGCAAGACCCACCGCCTGCTGATAGACGGGGGTAGCGCGGCTGACATCCTCTTCCAGAGCACCATTAACAAAATGGATATCGACCCGCGCCTAATCAGGCACGCGCAAGGCAACCTGGCGGTTTCTCCGGAACCCGAGTCCCGATAATTGGAGTAGTCACCCTCCCAGTGGTAATGGGAGACCAGGAGCCGCGCGTCTCCAAGCAAGTAGAGTTCACAATCGTCGATTGCGAATCGGCGCACAACGACATCCTAGGCCGACCTTTCCTTGCGAA